TCTTCGCTACGACCTCTCTCAACTAAGGAATCAACTAAGGAATCCACTGGAGCAATCAACTAAGGGGTCTGGCAAGAGCACATGTCCGCATCTAGCTGCGGCGGACGAGTTCATGAGCATGAAGGCGAGCGGCACGCCGGTGGCGGAGCGCATCTGCTCCACCTGCAGCACGAGATTGCACGAGATTGCACGAGATTGCACGAGATTGCACGAGATGTGGCGGAGCGCATCTGCTCCACCTGCAGCACGAGAGAAGGGATGGCCGAGGTCTGGCGGAGGTCTAGCCGAGGTGTGGCCGAGATCTAGCCGAGGTGTGGCCGAGATCTAGCCGAGGTGTGGCCGAGGTGTGGCCGAGGTCTAGCCGAGGTCTGGCCGAGATCTAGCCGAGGTGTGGCCGAGATCTAGCGAGGTGTGGCCGAGATCTAGCCGAGGTGTGGCCGAGGTGTGCGCTGGCCTGCAGCGGGAGCGCGATCTCGTGCAATCTCGTGCGATCTCGTGCAATCTCGTGCACTCTGCAGCCTGCAGCGCGATGAAGTCGAGGAAGTTTCGCCCCTCCTTGAGGTCGAGTAGCGACTTGGCCTTCTCGAGGCCCATGCCGGTGCCGAGGCCGCCTGTTGTGCGCAAGTGGACTGGGTCTACCAACCAGTACTACACACTCAGAATCATACTACGGCTGAGAACAGTGATACTACTGTGCGCAAGTGGACTGGGTCTACCAACAAGCTACACACTCAGAATCATACTACGGCTGAGAGCAGTGAGACTACTGTTCAATGATAGCAGGGTCGCAGTGTCGTCGGAGGGCGCCCGGGTCGCCCCGGGGCGGGGAGGTGGGTGGAGGGCGGGCACCACAGTTGTACTGAGAATGGGACCGATCATTGAACGGGTGGGAAGTCGAATACGAGGCCGCCGTTCAGCTTGACCATCACCGTCGACTTGAGCAGCGCCGGGTCCTGCGGCGAGGTGTGGGGAGGTGTGGGGAGGTGTGGCGAGGTGTGGCGAGATATGGGGAGATGTGGGAGATATGGGGAGACTGGGAGATACGGGGAGAGAAATAGCAGGAGGCGGGTCCGGCAAGGCGGATGGTGGACGCTCTCGAGGCAAGGTGGAGGGTGGAGGTGCCTCGAGCGCGCGCTGCGGGCAGTGGCTGATTGGAGCGGCCCTCACAGCCACCACGGTGAGAGAGTGTGTGGCGCAGCAGGCGTCGGTCGGAGGCGTCGGCACCTCCGTGGTGAGCGAGGCGTAGTCGGGCAGCGACTCGACCGGCTGGATGCTCTCGCCCGGAATCATCAGGTTGGCGCCTGGGAGAGCGAGCGTGCGAGGGAATGAGCGGAGTTGCAGCGAGCGAGACAGGCGGGACAGCGGCCGGAGGGAGAGTTTGGCAAAGAGACGGAGAGAGAGAGAGAGAGAGAGAGAGAGAGAGAGAGAGAGCAAAGCGAGAGGCGACCCCGGAGATAAGTGAGGAGAGAGGAGCAGAGACGGAGAGGTCGTGCAGCAGCAACAGTGAGTGGGTAGCAGGCACGCACCGCTGGTGAGCATCTTGAAGTTGTACTTGAAGGCGGCGATTGCGGCGTTCGAGAGGCCCTCGGCGCGCATCTTTTCCTCGTAGGCGGGCCACGAGGCGTCGAAGGGGCTTTCGCCGAAGAGGTACGAGTAAACAGCGCCCATGGGAGCTCAGAGTGTGGAGAATCCCGCGAGGCGCTATGAGGAATCGGGCTTTGGGCGCCAGGAGATGCCGGCACAGCGCTTTGCAGGAAAATTCTTTTTTACAAACCCGAAAAATCGCTACGTTCCCGCCGGGGAAGTTTCCCGGCACACTGCAGGTGTGGCTTGTCACCCGCCGCGCCCTCGCCCGGCCGCCTCACTTGCGAAGAAAAATCGGGGAACTACAAGAGGTTCGTCCTCGCGGGAGTCGCTTAGGCGGCTCCCGTGGTGTTGTGTTAGTGGAAGTGCGCACCAGTCCCGTGCCTAGTGGCGAGAAGAGTGATGGTAAAATTCTTCCGTGTCAAATTCTTCCGTGTCGTGAAACTCGGCCGTCCCTCGCAATCGTGTCAATCAGACGCCTCGTGGCTTGCCCTTCTACCCTGTTCTACCACTGTTGCCTATCGCTATGTCTTCCGCGGTGGGGTACTCCGCCATCGAAGCAGCTCCGAACCGTCGCCTCCAGCTCTTGCAGCAGCTAACTGCTGCCGCCGCCCTCCTCCTCCTCGGCGTTGCACTGGATCGGACACTCTTTTGGGGCCCACCGAGGCGGGCCCTCCGACCTCTTCCTCCCAAAGCTCCCCTCATTGCCACTCTCCATTGCTCTCCTCCCCTCCCTCGGCAGCCTAGTTGTGTGGCCCGAAGACTACATGCCAAAGTGCCGGGACGGCGAGGCGCTCCGAGTGCCGCTGGAGAAGGCGTGCGCACGCGTTGAGGCGGCGGCCGGCAAAGAAGCGGGCGCGCGGAGGCGCCTTACCGGCGTCGCCACCGCCTACTCGTGTCTGCCTCACTACCGCATCCCAGTCACGGGCACCGACGGCCGAGTCACGTTTCCGTATCACTCGGAGACGCTGCTGTCGGAGGGTGACGAGCGCGCGACGATGGCGCTTGTCGTGCTGCATGGCGCCTACCGCGATGCCGACAGCTACTTCTGTGCCATGTGTGGCGGCCGGCCCTCGTCGACTGAGCGCCACAGCCCCGGCGCTCACACCGGCCTGTGGTGAAAGGTATGACATCCAGCATGAGCAAGGCTACCGCAGTGCGGGCGAGGTGCGCGCATCGCCCAGTGGGAGGGGCTGGGAGGGAGCGGGCTCTTCATCACCCAAGACCAGCAGGTGCTCGTCCTCGCGCCGGATTTCAACTATCGGAAAGACTTTGGCGTCAAGCCCGGCATCGCCCATCGCACCACTCCGCCCGCGGATTGCCTGCCCACCACCACAACCCATGGTGACCCTGCAGGCGACGCCTTCTGGAACACTTCTCGGCCGAGCGGCGATTGGCGCGCGGGCGCGCCCTCGTCGCCGGAGAGCGGGCATGGCAGGACAGTCTCGTCATTTGCGGCGGGCCAGCCCGCCTCTCGCTGGAACTGCCAAACAGACCATTCACTGGTCTCGCCTCTTGGGCAGGTGATGGACACCTTCGTCAAGCTGCTGAGCGACGAGCGGCTCTTTCCAAAGCTGGAGGCCATTACTCTGCTCGGCCATTCCGCGGGAGGCCAGTTCGTGCAGCGTTACGCGCTCATGACCGTCCTCCCCACGGCGCCCCGTGCGGGGCTTTCCGTGCGCTACGTCATCGCGAACCCATCGTCGTTCGCCTACCTGGACGCTTCACGGCCAGTCTACTCATGCGGCAAGTATGCCGCCCATTCTGGCGTAGCGCCGCTACCGCCCTCCACAGCCGCACGCTCCTCGGAGCCTCGTAGGTGCCTTTGCAACTACCGCGGCTGCACCTGCTCCGACTCCTGCTCGCCCACCGCTGCCATACGCGAAGGAGCCCTCCCCTTCAAGGCGCCCGGCCCGAGGCGCCCATGACGCCGCCCCATCCCCAGGTGCGCGCGTGCGTGGAGTGCGTGCCTCTCCCACGCTCCAGGTGCCGCACCGGGGATTCTCCGCCGACGAGCCTGGAGCCTTTGTTTGCGGCGACGAAGCGTACAACGCGTGGCCGTACGGATTGGATGGCTGGGTGGGGGGTGCCACGGTCAATCAGTCAATCGCCATCTACCCCGAGCGCGACGTCTCGTACCTCAACGGCCAGAACGATACCTGCAACGACGGTCTGCCAGAGTGTGACTCCGAGTGCTGGCAGAGGGATAACGAGGAGTCGCCGTGCTTCCGCAACCGGATGGACACGCGCTGCCCGGCGATGCTCACCGGGCCGTGGAGAAGGGCGCGCGGCGCGGCCTACATGGCCTTCCTGCGCAAGTTTTACGGCGCCCCGAGTTTGCATCGCCCGCAGCTCTGCTCGCCCTGCCCTCCGCACGGTGCTAGCCATGTCGTGCTATAGGCCGGCCCATTCACCGGCACTACGTGGTCCCCGGCGCCGGCCACGACGCGATGGCCGTCTTCGAGTCGGCGGCGGCGCTCTCACGGGTCTTTGGCAGCGGTGGCAACGGGAGCGGCAGAGAGGAGATATTGGAAGCCCGGGCGCTGTCTGGGCCGCGCGTGCGGCGCCGCTACCCAAAGATAGCGGCGGCGCTCGCCTCGGAGCCGGGCGATGATCTTGAGGAGGAGCTTGAGAGGGGGATGGAAAGGTGACGCATGGGGGCGTATTTCTTCTTCCTGAGACCGCTTGATTGGGACTGTGCAGGGTGCACACACACAGACGCGTGTGCGCGCGCATATACAACTAAACAAATGAGTCACACAAACAACCCACGGGCACACACCGACACACCTTCTCCAGATTCTTGCATTCTTCTCTCTCCAGGAACCTTGTGGTTCAAGCAATCTCCATGCATCATCCATCCATCTTCCACCTCCCGCACACACCCGACGCCCCCGCGCGCGCCCCACCCCTGCCGGGAGAAAGGGGAGTTTGGGACGGCGACAGGCGAGACACCTCGCACTCCATGTGTGCGAGAACGCAGCGAGGAATTAAAGCAGACTTTTTGTTCGTGGGCGGGGACGTGTTCGCCGGACACGAGAGACAGCAGAGCACGGAGCACCGACCACCTCTCACATCTTCAAACCGCGGTCACATCCGCGATCATCGTACAACGGGTCAGAGGACTGGAAGCGATCACACGTCACTCTGCTGGTTGGTGGCGGTGGCGCGCTCGACGATGTAGGCCTCTGCCAAGATGGGCTCCCACTTGGGCACCTCGTGGGGGACCACCTGCCTTGGGTCGATGTTCGCATCCACATTGCAGTTAAAGAAGAAGGCGATGGACGTGCGCGAGGCCTCTGCCGTGGCGGGTTTGAGCAATCGGTGGGGAGAGGAGCGGAAGTGGCCGTTGGTCCACCGTTGGAGCATGTCGCCGACGTTGACGAGGAGGGTGTCGCTGCCCGCACGGTTGGCGGGCAGCCATGCGCCGTCTGCGGCGCACACCTCGAGCCCTCCGACCTCATCCTGGGTCAGGAGGGTGAGCGCTCCCCAGTCGCAGTGGGCGCCGAGGCCGATAGCCTCCGCATAGCGTGCGTCCTCCACTGGCGGGTAGTAGAGCAGGCGCAGCTTGGTCATCGGGTCACTCGTGTCGCGGAGGAAGAAGTCGGGTGGCTTGCCAAGCGCGATCGCCCAGCCGCGCATGAGAGCCACCGACACGCGCCAGCACTCGTCGTGATACTGTACCAGCGGGTCACGAAAGTACGCGCCGAGGCTCGTCGGCCACAGGGCTGCGAGCTCGCCGGGCTTTGCGCCCGGCGGCAGCTGTGAGGTCGCTGGTCGACCGAGGATGTACGACTCCTTGAGATCACCCATTGTCTGCTCGCCATCAATGCCCTCGCCGAGGCGGCTCTCGTCAAGCTTCTGCGCACCGCTGGGCTCCCATCCCGTTCCCTCGCCAGCATCTGGATCGGCTCGCACAAGCAGCTTGTGCTCCAGCGGAAGATGGAAAAAGTCGCCACACGCACGCATGGCGCCAGAAATGCAGGATGGCGCGATGCCGTGCCCCGAGATGTGGAAAAAGCCATATTCACGGCTGGCAGAATCGAGGCTGCGAGCGGTCGTCTCTTCGTGGGCCGACGCCACAGCTGATGCACTGGCGCTTCCCGACACGAGCGGCTCGATGTCGATCACCGGCAGCGCACGCTTCGCACTGCTCATGCATCTGCCGGGCAGCGTGCTGCACATTCGGCCGAGAAGCCGTCCTCGCATGTTCGCCTTGTGGGCGTGATGGTGGCTCGGCGCCGATGAAGTACGCGCTCGCGAGTGGCTGTCTCGTGTGTCTCTGTCGCGAAGCGATCGAGGCTCTCCGACAACTGTGTCCCTCTGCACCCCAGAAACCTCGATAGGCGAGTCAGTCATTGGACTTCTAGGTATATTGTTGGACTTGCTGTTGTTGTTCGTGTAAAACCAGCCGAAAAAGGGAATGTACGTAAGAGCTACATACACTGAAAAACCACAGGGCTGGTCCCTTTGTTTTTTGCAAACTCGCGCCGGGTCGTTCGTCCTCGAGGAGCTCCTTCGATTCTGGCGAGTAGAGGCCCCGCCCACCCAGGGTACCCCTCGCCGGGGCTCTGCTCCAAGAGACCTCGGGAGTGCGAGCGGTGCCTCTACTCGCCAGCAAAGATTGCCTGTCGTGCGAAAAAAGAAATATCGCGGCCTCGGCCGTCCGCCAGCGGTCGTCCTCGAGGAGCTCTGGTCGCAGCGATCGCAGCTGAGAGATCTGCCGCGTCTCCCGCATATCGATCGCAGCCAACATGGCTCTCCAGGCGCTCTGCGGGCTTGTGTCTGCACTTCCAGCTCCGCTTCCTGCCGTTGCCGAGCCCTTGTGGCAAGCCGCCAGGGACGCTGAGACTGAGATGGACCACGACCATCAGAATGCGCGCATCACGAAGTTTGCAAAGGACCATCAGTACATTGCCGACAGCATGCAGAACGACCCGGACCTTCATGCCCTCTGGATGAACGGCGTGGCAGCGGTAGCAGACAGCTGGCAGGCCGAGCGTTCAGCCACCGACACGGTGTCCGACGAGACGGCGGACGCCTCCTCCAAGGTGGTGCCAGGTCCCATCAAGGCGATAGCCGCGTCGACGGTACACCTCCTTTTTGAGACGCCCGAGGCCTTCGCCTGGGAGCGGGCGCAAGCGTCGGCAATGTCAGTCGCGCAGGCTCTCAAGATCGGCGACCTGGAATACGCCGGCCCCCTCCCTGTCCGCTGGCGGCACCACAGCCTGCCTCGCGAGGAGGGTGTGGTGCTCAAGCTGACGGCGGCAATACCGGACGCGCCGCCACCGGAAGGCTCGGACGGCTACCCCGTGATCGTCTTTCCAAACGCCTTCTCTCTCACAGTCTTCATGTTCTCGTTCAAGCAGCACGAGTGGGCGACCAAGGGCTTCATCGGTGTCTCATACCTCTCGAGGGGGTGGTACGAGGCGGGCGGGTACCCCGACATGGGCGGCCCGCTCGACATGGATGACGCCTCCGCCGTCATCGACATGGTGGAGGCGCACGCTTCCGAGTGGGGCGCCGACCCCAGCGCTCTCGCCTTTGCCGGGCTCAGCTACAGCGCGGGGCTCGCCGTCCTCGCCGCGGCGCACGACGCGCGAATCAAGGCGGTCGCCAGCCTCTGCGGCTGGGGCAACCTGACCAACGTCGTCGACCCGCAGGGCGCGCCAAATCGCTTTTACATCGAGGGGATCAAGCTGCTCGCGGACATTGGTGCTTCGCGCCTGCCGGCGGAGCAGATCGAGCTGCTGGACATCTCCATCCACCATGCCAGGTCGAGGGAGGACTGGAACAGGGACGCGCCCCGACTCATGAGCTACGTCGACCAGCGGTCGATCGAGCGCTTCCCAAAAAAGCTCTGCCGAAGAGGCACGCCCGTCTTCCTCGCTCTCAACGCCGACGATGGGCTGCTAACCTCGGACGCAGGACTGCAGACTCGGCAGTTCCTCCACGGCGCCGGATGCCGCGTCTTCACCATGGTGGACGAGGGCGAGCACGCCTTCTCCGCCTTCCCGAACCTGATGATCCCGTCGACGATGCTCACGGCGTTCCCCGTCAACGAGTGGCTGATCAAGGGGATGGGCTACCGGCAGCCGCTGTGGCAGCGCACGTTCGACTTCTTTGACACCTTCCTTCGCGGCGCGCATGGCCGATTCGAGGAGGAGGCGCCCATCCAGTTCCAGCTTCGCTCTTCAAAGACGGGCGTGGGCATGTACTTTGCGGAGCCAACCTACCTCGGCTTCGAGGAGTGGCCGCCAAGGCGGTCGGTGGTCACGCCCACGGCCTTCGCGATGACCGACTCGGGCGGGCTCATCGGCAGCGTCGAGGGCGTCGCTCATCGGCAGCGCGCCCCCGGCCTGTGCGACACCTCGATCGCCTTTGGGACCGCGTCAGGCATCAACCCCGGGGTGCCAATCCTCGGCACGGTGCTCAAGACCACCGGCGGCGTCCAGTCCCGCACCTTCCTCGACAAGGTGAACCGGACGGCGGCGGCCATCTACCGCACGCCACCGCTCGAGCGCGGCGCCACCATCTGCGGGCTGCCGAACGCGAGCCTGTCCGTGCTCCCTTCGCGCGCCGGGCGCCCCCCCCACTCCCCGGGCGACCCTCCAGAGAGCTTGCCGCGTTTCCAGGTCCACACAGTGCTGTTTGACATCGAGGAGGACGGGAACAGCGCCAAGCTGCTCACGTCTGGCGTGCGCAACGTCTGGATGCCCGGCGTCGCAGGCCTGAATGGCGGCTGGGCGGGCCCTGGCACCGAGCTCACGGTGGGCATGCACGCTCTCTGCGTCGAGGTGCCCGCCGGTCATGCGATCGGCTTGGGCGTCGACCTGTTCAACGTCTACTACACGCCCGCGAGCACGGACCCGGCCCTTCGGCTCGGCCTCTCGTGCGATGCCCGCAGTCGCCTCGCCCTGCCAGTGGTCAACAGCGGCGACGGTGCCCCTCAGACCCACACGCTTCTGTGAGAACCCCGGTGGCTCTGAGGTCTCATTCGAGTGAGGGCGCATGGATTGTGCATGACCGCATGTGCATTAGTGAGGCATGTAGGGGTCTATTTACTTCGCTAGGAAGGCAGGTGTGCTAGGGCGAGTTTTCCTACTAGAGATGGACATGTGCATGTGCATGTATGTGTAGTGTTTCCAAGTTTTGTCGTTGTGTCTTTTAGAGAGGTGTAGGTAGGGTACGGGCTCTCGGCGAGGCGGACGGGGGTTGGGAGCGAGGGGGCGAAAGTGCTCACGCAGTGCGGTATAGAAGGTGAGCTCGGGGCGCGTGAGCCGGACTTGTGAGCCGGACGGCATTTCTCTCTCTGCGTTCTCGCACATGGAGTGCGAGGTATCTATCTCGACTTTCCTCCCCAATCTGTCACTCCCCTGTCTCCCAGCCGGGGTGGGGAAAAGGGGGCGGCGGGTGTGCGGGATGTCTGTCTGTGGGGGCCCGAGAGCGATGTCCGTGTGTCCGCCTTGCGTTTGTTTCATAACACATCGAAGCTAGCTCAAAAAGAACTCGGGGTGGGGCGCGCGCGGGGGCGGCGGGTGAGCGGGATGCCTGTGGGCCCGAGAGCGATGTGCGTGTGTCGTCCTTGCATTTTTTTGAGCTAGACTTCGATGTTAATAGAAACAATCGAAGGCACACAACATAACGCCACACAATTTCTTTTTGAGAGCGCCTTCGTTGTTAATAATACAAGCCCAATGGTCCCTTTCGAGCGGTCCCCTGTCGCAGTCGCACACACGCACACGCCGCACCGCACCGCGCGCCCGCCCTCTTCGTTCCCCCCTCGAATTCTCCGGACCCCGACAGGCCGCCCGACGTTGGGCCTCTGTCCCGCACGCCCCCGCCCCTTCTGCCCCTCGCTCACACCCCGGCCCGACACGCACATACAAGACAAACCCGGCGTCCTGCTCTCCAAAAGAAAAGAAAAACATTCGAAGGCTGGCTCAAAAGGTGAGCCCTCCGAGAGCCGTAGAGGCTAGAGCTCTAATACCACTTACTCTCAAAACCGTACACGTACAGATCTTTCGCTTACACCGTGTTACAGCGGTCGACATGCATAGAGCCGTATGTCTGATGAGGTGTGCATAAACCAGACACCACTATGTTATATCATAGGATATTAACATACTGAGATACCAGGCTCTTCCCTGGCATATCAGCTATCAAGAAACCGTCTGACTTATAGGAGGAGGAGCTCTGTATTCTGCTTTTTCGACACATCCCACAGAAAACATCCGGGCCATGGGAATATCGGTCCAGACACTCTGGGTTCTGGTTTTTCGAGGTGTGAACGATCTCCCCGTGGAGGGGTCATTCCGGCGGAATGACCCTTCATTAACTAATCGGATTCCGAATGGGTCGAACGGGAGTACTAAGACAGCAGCATGTTCTGGGTGGGAGGAACCCTTGGGGGGAACCGTTTTATCGCTCCAGGCATTTCGGCTTCTGGTTTCTGGTTTCTGCTCCGAAAGCGAGGTTGGCGGCGCGCCGCGCTGCCACGCACTTTTGTGGCTCACGGGAGGGAGGCCTGCGATGCGGTCGAGTCCGCCAGGCTGCCGCGATCCCGAGCGGAAACGCCGTGGCAGCCAACATGGCTGCCTCGTGCATCGGACGCCGACCGGCGGGGCCGTTGCTTGTCATGCCCAAGCCCTGAAAGGCTGAGCTGTGAAAGCAGGCGTTGTGCGAGTGTTTTGAGTACCTATCACATATCAATAGAGTGTTTGGATCTACTCTGTTGGAGACAGAAAGAAGCTCTATCACAACGTCGGCGGAGCGGCCAATGCGCGCGGCGATCTTGAGGGCACCACCAGGAGCTGGCAAGGCCTCATCGCACGCTACCACACGTGCCGATCCGTGCCGAGATTTACCCGCACCCGGCGTTGACACTCATCACCAGTCGCGACCAATCGGAGCAGAAACCAGAAACCAGAAACCAGAACGCAGAATGCATGCCGCTTTTTTGCTGTTCCCACTTGAAAAAAATGGGGGACACCTGTTCATTGGCCGGAATGAGCTCATTAGGACGAAGCGGGAGATGTATTCACACCGCAGAAACCAGACCCACAGGCAGATCCCACGGGAAATCGAGGCGGGTGTCCCAGAAAACAGAGATCCCAAAAAAACCAGAGAGCGCCGCAGAAACCGACCGACCCCTGGGTTTTCGGCTATGGGAAACCGCCATGGGAAACCGCAGCAGAAACCCGATGGGAAACCGAGGTCTGGTGTCTGCTTTGTGCACGAATGTGTCTGATCTCTCTCGTGTCTGAGCGACGTGCGGTGCATATAGTGCATTGTGGAGAGAGAGAGCACACACACCGACGCGAGGCACACGCACCACCATATTGCTCATCCACCGCACACCCGTAGGGAAACCGCTGCGAGGCGCGAACTAGCGCTGCTGTCCATCATATCACATTGCGCAACACATCGCCGTCGGGAGAGTCACTCAAGCCTCAACCAGCTGAAGGTGATAGGGGGGAGCTCGCAGGTTCAGCGGCCGCGAGTGATCCCAGTGCCGCAGCCGGCCGCGCGGCTCGTTGGTGACAGCAAAGATGGGGACTTGCCAGCCCAGGACGCGGCTCAAGTGGGAGCGCAGTTGGCGCAGGACGGGGAGGTCCCGGCCCTCTTGGCCGGTGGAGCGGAAGAAGAGCAGCCCGGCGAGGCTTCTCGCCAGGAGGGCCTAGGCCTGAAGGCGTGCCGCCCTGCTTGCTCTAGGTGAAACGTCTAAAGGACGAAGATGCACGGAGGTGCGACCAACTCTGCACGACGGGCGGAGAGGACGGGCACTAGACCAGGATCCAGGAAGGACTGGGAGAGTGTGAATGGAGGGACACGTGTGGTTCAGACGTCCCCCCCCTCGACGTAGTCGAGTCACTCACATGGATAGAGAGGAAAGTGTCCCTCTCGATGGGCGATGGGGCATGGAACATGCACGTGGAGAGTCTGTGGCTCTCGTGGGGGGCGCGGCGCTGCTCGCGGCATGGCGCACGCGCTCATGTCTCGGCGAGGAGACTCGCTTCCCGTCTGATGGGGAGGAAGGCTCCTTGACATTCATGATCTTGTCTCGCAGCTCGAAGAAGCGCTGGGGTCTGAGCGGCTTCGTGAAGGTCGGCGAGGTTCTCGTCGCTGCGGACAAAGGGAACGCAGACGACTGGGAGAGTGTGAATGGGGTGCTTGCGCGGTCTAAGATCAGCGGGAGCCTCTTACATCGAACATCGTTGCGATGAGCTGATTGGGATCGCAGAAGTGCATGCCAAGCACCGCCACGATCTTGAAGCAGAACACATCGCAACCGCATCGTCCGCACTGCCATCGGCATGCCGCGCCCGCCGCTTCGCCGCAGCCGCCTTAAGGCACGCATAGCGGCAGTGGTACGTTGCGCGTACTTGAGCAGGCGTTGCGCGCCGCAAGTAGCGCACTGGCCCTGGGAGAAGGCGATATGGCGTCGTGCGCGGCATACGTTGGTCGGGACGCGTCCAGGTATTTTTCGGGTAAACCTGGACTTTTGCAGGTATACCCGGGTTTTACCCGGAGTTGGCCTTGGTCGTCTAAGTTCATGGCCCCCGACCCCCGACCATACAGCGTCTAAGTCTGAGCCCGGCTCCGTGCGGGGGCTAAGTTGAGCGCTCGCTCGCTGCAGAGGCTAAGTGTAGAGCGACCCTCTAGCCCTACTACCCAACCATTGTGCGGAGTGTGGTGCGTGCGGTGTGGTCTGTCAGACTGACAGTCACCGTCTGTGGACCTGTGGACGGTGCGCGCAGAATGTGGAACCGATTGAGAGGTGCCGGAGCTGCCGTGTGTGGGCACACGTTGTGTGGTGGCACGTGAGTGAGAGAGAGCCGGCGCGCGCAGCGCGCGGCACGTTTTTTCATCCAAACAACTGTGAACCGGGAAGGCCTGCGCAACCTCTATAAAGCCGTAATACGGGCTCTAACTACATCTCGAGCGCCGCGTCCTGGACGTCGAGCGCGGGGGCCGCCGAGTCGGAGGCCGGCGCCGCCTCATTGTCGACGGCGGCGGCCGCGGTCGCAGCATCTTCCGCTGCCTCTTGTGCCCGCTCGGCGATGGCGGCCGCCTTTTTGCGCGCGCGCCGGTCCCGCTGCTCGCTTGTGCGGTCGCGTTTGCCACGCTTACGCTTGTCTATGCGTTTGCGTGGTCCACGCTTCTTCTCGTAGTTGCGCTCGGCAGCCTTCTGGGCCTCGCTGCGGGCCATGGAAATCAGTGGCCCCTCTTGTGCGATGGCGGCTAGGATGGCAGCCGCCTTTTTGTGCGAACGCCGGGCCTGCTGATCGCGAGTGCGGTCGCGTTTGCCGCGATCGCGATTGTCTTTGCGCGGCAGACGCTTCTCCTGCTCGTATTTTCGCCAGGCAGCCTTCTGGGCCTCGCTGGCCATGGCTGCCCCACCGAGACCCTCTCTCTCTCTCGAGGTGGATATTCCTATCCTTGGCCGCGTTGGGTAGCGAGACCCGAAAGAAAACGTGCGCCACTGTGCAACGAAGGACCGCTCGCAGAGGACCATTGGGTTTGTGTGAGTATGTGTGCGCGGGCGGCAGCGGTGGCGGCTCGCGGGTGGAGGTGGAGGCTGGAGGCGTGGTGGGTCTTTGAGTTTATTTCATGATGGACTACGAGGAGTGGGGGTCAACCGGGAGGCAGGGGGTTCAACCAGGCGACGGAGGACCGTGGGCCATCGCGGGGACCGTTCGCCCGGAGGGCGTACTGGGCTGATCCGGATGGTCTCACCCGGTGGGTGGCACCGAGGCGTCTGGGACGCTCAGCTCTACCTTAAGCTCCTGAGGGGCGCGTGGTTGTAACCACGTAGTATGACTACAGCCCACCACAGACACCCTCCCTGCTCCACATGTGTGCACACTCCCTCACCCTCTCCTCTCTCCTCTCTCTCTCTCTCTCTCTCTCTCTCTCTCTCTCTCTCTCTCTCTCTCTCTCCTCTCTCTCCTCTTGTCTGTGCTGTCTGCCTGACTCAGGCACTCAATCTGCCGATGCGTGATTGTGTGTGGGCTGCTCCGAGGGGGCCCTCTGTGCGATCCGACGGGTAGGGGGGCTGTGCCCGGGCGGTGTCCGGTGTGGAGTCCCCTTCTGATCCCGCCTGGGATGTTGGGTGTGAGGTTGTGGCGGCTTCGATCCCAAGGGGGGGAGCTGAGAATCTCCGCAGACATCCAAAACGGGCCGTGCCGCGTTTGTGGTGTCTTCTCAAGCACTAGCATCCGGACGCCGCACTCGAGCGGGCGGGTCACATCTATGTGGGCCCAGTGTGCGCACTAGGCGCATATGTAGGGGGTCCTTGGAGCACTTGGTCCACAGCGCCTCAAAATCCACCAGTGTGGGATTTCGCGCAATCGCTTGACTCTGAAAAGCTCGCATGTACCTCCTGCGAGCGCTGTGATCGCCGCAGACTGGCTCCGACTTGACGGCGGCATGGAGACGTGATGCCTCCATGCCGCCGTCAAGTCAAAATCGACATGCGAGTCGATCTTTGGCCCGCCAGAGGTACATGCGGCGTTTCGGGCGACAACAGCGCTGTGACCGCGAAGTGGCGGTGGACATGCTCCCATGTTGCCGACGCGGCGCCGGAGTGGCCGGCGCTGCTCGCCGCGACCACGACGGCTACTCCGATACTCCGGGCCGACCCGTCCTACCCGACGGTGGCACTCTTCCACGTCTCGCTCACGCTGAGAAAAATTCTGAAACGTCGTGCAGCAGAGTCACCGACGAGTCGGTCCGCGTGCCTCCTCGTGTCCCGTACCGTTCTCACACATCCATAAACTCACTTTGGCCTCACTGAAGCGATGCCTGAATCCTGAATCCTCAGATTTTAGATTAGGACGCTGTGGACCCCCTAGCATATCGTGCTAGTGCTATCCTGCCCTATGGGAGGCAGAGGGAGGGGGGAGGGGGGGGCAGAGGTAAGGTGGGGTGAGACTGGGGAGGGCCTCACTTGAGTCTTGACCCTCGCACACGTGTGACCTGTGACCACGGCTTTTCGCTTTAGCTTTCCTCGTACACATGCGTACGCTCGGTAAACACAGAAAGCCTACCGCGGCCCACCGGCACCGCGCGCGGCGGCAACAAGAACAACAGCGCAACGAGATCTGACCGTACAAGCGCCGACGCCCCAAAGCCAAAGCCTGTGCTGTAGTCCGCCACACCTTCCGTATGCTCCCTGCGGGTCGACCTGCGCGTCAGACGTCCTCCTCGTCCGAAGCCGGCGCGGCGCCGTAGCTGCTGTCGCCACTGCTCTGGCGGAGCAACTTGCTCGCGGCGCGGTTGCGGCTGCTCTCTAGTGACGACTCACGCAAGCCCACCCTCTCCTCCTCGGAGAGGGCGTCGCGCAGCGGCGCCTACAGCCTCGGCCGATCTCGGGCTGACCTCCCGCTCCGGCGGCGGCGCTGAGAGGGTACTCTCTCTCTCTCTCTCTCTCTCTCTCTCTCTCTCTATGTGTGTGTGTGTGTGTGTGTGTGTGTGTGTGTGTGTTGGGTGGTTGGGTTGTCGCCTGCTGGTAGAGCGAGCCGCCGATAAGGCAGAGCAGCAGCGACGCGATGCCTACAGGGAGATCGTGGAAGATTGTGGGAGATTATGGGAGATTGACGAGGCAGAGCAGCAGCGACGCGATGCCGTACGGCGAGGCGTGCTTGTCCCAGATGAGGACGTTGACTGTCACGGTGAGCATCTTGTTGGTCACCTGCGGGAGAGAGATCAGCCGAGATCAGCCGAGATCAGCCGAGATCAGCCGAGATGAGGTCACGGTGAGCATCTTGTTGGTCACCTGCGGGAGAGAGATCAGCCGAGATCAGCCGAGATCAGCCGAGATCAGCCGAGATCAGCCGAGATCAGCCGAGATGAGGTCACGGTGAGCATCTTGTTGGTCACCCCCACGACCGTATACGCGGTGGCGGTGATCAGCGACTGGCACCAGAAGCCGGACCACGAGATGCCTACAGGGAGATCGTGGGAGATTGTGGGAGATCGTGGGAGATTGACGAGGCAGAGCAGCAGCGACGCGATGCCTACAGGGAGATCGTGGGAGATTGTGGGAGATTGTGGGAGATTGACGAAAGCCGGACCACGAGATACCTATCCCGACCAGGCAGGAGAGCAGCAGCCAGCTGCCGCCGACCGGAGACAGCTCGATCGCCTCGAGTCGCGCGCGCGTGAACTCGCCGCTTGCCACGCCCACGAGCAGGGTAGGCAGGATCGAGAGCGAGTTCGTGTATAGCACCGGCGTCCACAGCGACCTATCTCGGGCGATCTCGGGAGATCTCGGCCGATCTCGTGCGATCTCGTGCGATCTCGTGCGATCTCGTCCGATCTCGTCCACCGGAGCGGGATGCAATCTCGTGTGATCTCGTGTGATCTCGTGCGATCTCGTCCGATCTCGTCCACCGGAGCGGGATGCAATCTCGTGTGATCTCGTGTGATCTCGTGCGATCTCGTCCGATCTCGTCCACCGGAGCGGGATGCCCGTCACCAGGAACTTTCCGTAGGTGAGCTGAAAGACGAGCACGGCCCACCAGACCTGAGGTGAGTGTACGGGAGGGTGGGTTCGGGTACCGTGGGGGTAGGGAGGGGTGGGTTCGGGTACCGTGGGGTAGGGGAGGGTGGGTTCGGGTACCGTGGGGTAGGGGAGGGTGGGTTCGGGTACCGTGGGGTAGGGGAGGGTGGGTTCGGGTACCGTGGGGTAGGGGAGGGTGGGTTCGGGTACCGTGGGGTAGGGGAGGGTGGGTTCGGGTACCATGGGGTAGGGGAGGGGTGGGTTCGTGTACCATGGGTTGGGGGAGAGGGGCGCTAGGTCGGCCTGCGGTGTGAGTAAGGGAAGGGAAGGGGTGGTACACTTCCCCCCCCACACACACACGAAGTGGTGGCGCAAGGGGGGCAAGCAGCCCCTCGCATCTCCACACGGTGGCGCAAGGGGGGCAAGCAGCCCCTCGCATCTCCACACGGGCCGGGGGAGCCGGCACGGACCATCCAAAGTGCAAGGCCCTGTGCTGCGTCGCACAGACGCCTGTCGCGCCACCACGCGCCTCCCCGCCTCTTCGCCTCTCGAGCCAACCTCGCTGGCATCTACCCCACCAGAACCGACGCCCAAAAGTAGGCGCGCACACCCTTGACGCGGAACTCGCGGTCGCAGGCGATGTACGCCACTGCACCGGCGGTGATCAGCAGCAGCGCGGCGCAGGAGCGGGCCGACGGCACGGCGCGCCGGTAGATGAAGTGGTCAAAGATGCAGACCTGCTCGGGCGATCCCGTGTGATCTCGGGCGATCTCGTGTGATCTCGTGCGATCTCGTTCGATCTCGTTCGATCTCGTGGGATCTGAGACCGCGAGCGGCGTGCACGAGCGGAACACGATGACCGTCTCGACGTTGGCATCCTGAGGAGGTGGCAACGAGGACAGCAACAACAAGAATCAGAAGAAGAAGAGTGATAGGACGGCGGCAGTCTCACGTTGGCGTTTTCGAGGGAGACGCAGGGTCATCGAGTGTCTGCAAAGGCACTCTCACGTTCGCACGAGATCTGGTATGCCAGAGGTCTAGCCGAGGTGTGGCCGAGATCTAGCCGAGGTGTGGCCGAGATCTAGCCGAGGTGTGGCCGAGATCTAGCCGAGGTGTGGCGGAGGTGTGGCGGAGGTCTAGCCGAGGTGTGGCCGAGATCTAGCCGAGGTGTGGCCGAGATCTAGCCGAGGTGTGGCCGAGGTGTGGCGGAGGTGTGGCCGAGGTGTGGCCGGGGTGTGGCCGGGGTCTGTAGTAGCCGAGGTCTGGCCGGAGGAGCGCGTACTCACGCGCCTGCAGCACTTTGATGTTTGTCCACGTGCCGATCGAGAAGGACAGGACGTAGATCAGAAAGTACTTGACCTTCCTCCACTCGAAGTCGTCCGTCCTCAGCAGACCTGCGCACATGCCGAGGTCAGCGCAGGATTGTGTTAGGGCAGGAATGCGGCGTGAACATCTCAGGGCGGGAGTACGGTCTTGTGCAGTGTATTCAGAGCACCGCGTGAGTACGAGGCCCTACGAACACAGTGAAGACGCAGCCGGATACGGCCGGATACAGCTGAATGCGTGTCCTCTCGAGCGTTGCTTGGGAGGCAAGAACACGTCTTCCCGCTTCTAGGGCAGCTGGCCGGTAAGCTTGCCGCCGTACACGAGCACGGTGCACGAGGCGAACTATCGCCGGGGGAGAGGAGATTGCAGCTCAGCGCCCTCCGCTAGTCAGGAGCACGTCGGCATCCGGGGGCGGAAGGAATCTCTCCGTGGGAGAGATTCCCGTGTCGCGACAAGATCCGGCGGAGGAGGTGTGTGGCGAGGGGCGAGGTGACTTACTCTCACGGGCAGCGGCATGGGCGCGGCGTGTGCGCCGTCGCGGTTCGACGGCCCAGCGCGGATGGGAACTGCGCGAGGTCTAAGGGGCGTCTCGGGAACGCTGGGGAGGTATGAACGGCAGGCACCTGGCAGAGCGTGACCAGCGCCGGCGACGGCGTGTGCGACACGGCGATCTGCGAGAGCAGGCCGAGGAGCAGAGGGTGAGAGCGCGTGCGTGTGTGCCTCGGAGACGGAGCGGGAATCCAGCGCGCGGGATGACCAAGAGGAGGCAGGCTGGCGCGGCTGCAGCGAAGCACGCGAGGTGCATGCGCGTGGAGCCAGAACATATGGCGCTGCTCTATCAGTCGGACGGCAAGAGCGGGCGGTGGTGGCCTTGTTGATGACAAGCATCCCGCCCGAGCAAAAGCAGTACGTGATCACGGCCGCGGCCACTTCAGCGGCGTCCTCCTGCTTCTCTCGCATCAGGGAGTTCGGTCGGTGGCCGACGTGGGGGTAAGCGTGATGGGGGAAGGGAGTGGGGGGCGCCCAGTAGGGCGCCGGCACCCCAGCGTAGAGGGCCTCGTGTAGCCCTCCTTTTGGTATAATT